GGCAGAGGGAGAAGCAGGCTCCCCACTGAGCAGGGAGCAGGATGCGGAATTTGATCCTACGACCCTGGGATCACGACCAGTGTGGAAGACAGATGCTTAACCGACTGAGTCCCCAGGCATCCCGTCATTTTTACAGTTTACAAAGAAAAATTAACTGAATAGTAACATATACTTATGAGCTATATTGACAATTAAAACTATTATAGAACCAGGACAAATTTTCTTGTAAAATGTTCAAATCTTTCTCCAATCATTAATCTTTTAAACAATTAAAATTGAATATGAAACTTTTATGAAGTAGCCCCAAACCAATCTTAGAAGTTCAACATGTAAGTTTCAAGTATTAGGAAGGGGTAGAGTGGCAGAAACTAGAAGTGACATGTTCCATCTAGAGACATGTACACATTTCTTTTTGAAATGTTGCACACGCCGCACAACCAAGTTATGTGGAACAAAGTGTGACCAGCGGCTGCCTCCATATAACCAATGATTCCACTTTCATTTTCAAGAGTCAGTGTGTCCCACAGTATCTATACGTCGAGGCTGATGCATGACATTTTATAGACATCTCCTTGTAAAGAGTAAAAGTCAGCTAGCTGAGTAGGTAGGTGGTAGGTAGGTAGATAGTGAAAAATCTTCTCTCCTCCCTCTCGGAGCCTGAGATCTAGAATTCCAACAGTTATAGCTGGTATTCACCATCAGAAGGTTATCTGTCTAGGATCCATGATGGTACAACCAGTATGCTTCAGGTATGTGCCCTATCTAGCAGGTTATGTCACCTGAGAACTCTGGAATGATGGTAAAACTCTTCAAAGAAAATGCAGACATCGGGGCATCTGGGTGGCTCAGTGGTTTAAGCCTCTGCCTTCGGCTCAGGTTATGATCCCGGGGTCCTGGGATCGAGCCCCGCATCGGGCTCTCTGCTCAGCAGGGAGCCTGTTTCCCTTCCTCTCTCTCTGCCTGCCTCTCTGCCTACTTGTGATCTTTCTCTGTCAAATAAATAAATAAAATCTTTAAAAAATTAAAAAAATAAAAAGCACTTATCTAATTAAGCCCAGAATACTAAGCATAAAAATGCAAAATAAAGAGAATAAAAGAGTATGAAAATGAAAGAATTCTATCTTGTGGAATATGAAGATATTTTATCAACACTTTAAATTCTCTCCAAATCCTTAACAGCATGTATTTTTAAAAGATTTTTTGATTCAAGAAAGAGCGAGCAGAAGCAGGGGGAGGCTCATAGGGACAAGCAGACTCCCTGTTGAGCATAGAACCCTATGCAGGTGGATCCTAGGATCCTGAGATCAGGACCTGAGCCCAAAATCAAGAGTCAGACACTTAAACTGACTGAGCTACCCCAGCACCCCAATAGTATATTTTTTAAAAGATTATTTATTTACTTATTTATTTGAGAAAAAGAGTGCATGAGTGTGCACAAGCAAGCACAAGGGGTGAGGTGCAGAGGGAGAAGCAGACTCCCCACTGAGCAGGGAGCCCAATGCAGGGCTTGATCCCAGGACACTGAGATCATGACCTGACCCGAAGGCAGACAAACAACAGCATATTTTAAAAAGCATTTTCCAAACGGTAATCTATAATCTATTAAAAATTAATTTATAATCTATAAAAATTGTAATCTATAATCTACTAAAAATCTATGATCTATTGAATCTATAATCTATATTATAATGTATAATCTATTTTAAAAAAAAGATTCCATGTACATGTATTTATTCAAGTTACACTTGAATGCCTAGTTGGTGCAAGCTGTGATAGGTGTTGGGGACACAGTGGTGACAAGACACTGGCCCCTCCTCATAATGTTCAGTCTAATGGAGAGACAAGGCCCTAAACAGCTGTTAATAATGATTGTGATAAATGATACAAAGGAAGAGCACTGGGTACAAGGAGAGCAACTGCGGCCAGTAGGCAGTACACAGTGTAGGTCAGGGAAAGCTTACCAGAAATCTACTGAGACTTAAAGGATAAGTAGGAGCAAATCACATACGGAGAGGAAACGTTCTAGAAACATTTCCACACAGAAGACATGTGTGAAGATTTCAAGATGAGCAATAAGAACTTCAGCCGACTTGATCACATGCTTTCAACTAAGCAATCTAGGAGCACAGCGAGTGTTCTAAGACTAGTCACGAAATGCTCTGAGAGAGAAATGAAGGTGCTTTCCTACTGGGTAGTTATGAAAATCGAAAAACTGCAGATTCTAGAAATATATGATGGAGGATGAAGACACTGACAAGAATAATTCCCAGGTTAGAACAAATAGAACGGTACCAATTTTGCATTCATTTGGAAATGCCAACTTTGAAGTCCCTCTCAGACAACAAAGATGACCATCAACTTGACAAATGAATAAAAACAAAGCTTAATCTCAGAAAATGAGAATGGAGATGTGATTTGGGAATCATCTGCACAGAGGTACTTACTGAAGCTACAGCGGGAGCTGAGGTGAACCAGGAGGAGGAAGTCCAGGTTACTAAACCCTAAGATTGCCTCTATTTAAAGGGCAGAGGAGAAGGAGTAGCTGAGAAGGAAAGGCAGGAGGCATACCGAGGGAGTGCTATGTCACTGAAACCAAAGGCCAGCATGTGAAAAGAAAAGAGTAGTCAACTGTCCCCAGTGCTGCAGAAAAAAAATCAAGGAGCACAAGCATTTGTAGTGATCTCTGACTTCAGAGATGTGCAGACATGGTGATCCTCATAAGAGCAAGACTGAAGAGCATTAATTGAGGAAGAAGCTTAACTGGAATGTATTCAAAGTGAATCAAAGATGAGAAAAGGGAGATAGCCAAGGGTCAACATTTCTTAGGAGACATTTGCCTGTGAATGACAATGACCCTACGAGGCAGCACAGAGTAAAACAGAAAATTTAGTAGGATTCTGAGGATGTGAGTGGCCTAAACATGTCTCATGTGTATAAGTAAGACTCAGTAAAAAGGTAGAATCTGAAAACACTTGAGGTTTTTGACAACGTAGAAAGGGATGTGATCCTGCTTAGCACAAGAGGAAAACTGGCCTTTAACATGAGGGAAGACAATGCCTCCATTAAAACAAGAGGGAAATGGAAAAACACAAAAGGGAAAAAATACAGGCAAAACTGGAGATTTAGTGGTTAAGAAACGAACATAGGTTCCACCTGATGCTTGCTCTTTTCTGTGAGAAGTGGAAGGCAATATTATTTAAGAGTGAGGAGGCCAGCAGGAAAGCTGGAGGTTTGGAGAGAAACTAGTAGAGGGGAAATAAGACAACTGGACATTGTGACAAAGGACAAACAGTTGTAATGATCTACCCTGTTGGGAGTTTCCTCCAGCAGAGGCCCAGGAAAGCTAAGTTGCTGGTTTTATCCAGGGCTGTGGTCCTATCAGGTTTGATGAAAGGAAAAGGGACAAGAAACCTTAATCCTAGTGAGTTTTTACTGAGCACATTACTTGGTCCAGGGGCTATAGTACTCTGTATGAATGGCACCTTCAAGCATCATGGCTACCCTACCCAATGAGCAAAATATTATTTTCATTTTATAAATGAGGAAGCCGAGGAATAAACTGATTTGTTTCTTGACTATCATCACATAACAGTCAGGATTCAAGGTTTGACATTTCGTTTGGGAACCCTATCCCCCACCCCCCAAAAGGGAAGTGAAATAGAACAGAAATTTTTAAAAACATGTAAGAGTGACTGTGTGTATAATCTTGAAATACTTCTTTTATCAATAGAGTAATGGACCATAAAATTACAAGTGGTTTTCTATCTTAGTGTTTGTTAGTGTTAAAATTTAAAGACTCGTCAAATCTAGAACTTAAGGAGAACAGTATAAGCTAACTTATTTCACATTTATATCCAAGGCATTGTATGTTTTCACATGCTATCTCATTTACCTCAAAATGTCAGCACAGAATGAATCTACCTCCTGAAGAGGAAAATGAGGCTCAGAAAGGCTAAATACTGTTCTACTTTTTTTTTACCAACCCCTAAAAATTGAAGTAGCCTCTCCCTGACCCCCTTGCCACTAAGCCCTGTAAAACCAGGGGTAATAGGCCTGACTGCATTCTCTGAGCAGAACAAAAAACTCCAGAGCTGTTTGCTCTCACTGGAAATTCTTTCCAACCACTGCTTTATGCTAGCAAGTGAAAGAAACTAGAACATGCTCTCATCACTATAGCTAGAATCAAACTAAAGAAACTGAAAATAAAAATTTGAAAAACAGAGAGTAAAACCTTAGAAGAAAACCGTATGTCCAATTCCCAAATATAAACACTGAAGTAAGAAGAAAAGTTATTAGACTTGTTAATTTTGCACTGACACAGTAATTAAGCTTGATGAATCTGGCTCCATTCTATAATCACACAAAGGTAAGAAAAAACTCGATAGTTAATCTCTTTTATAGTCATTAAACAGCTTAGCTCATATCAATGTTTTCCAAATTGCTGAATACGGTATTTTCCTTGACTGACAAAAACAAAAAACAATAGTAACAGGTAAGAAAAGGAATATGTATCTGAATAACATATACTGCAAAGATTTACTATTAAGACAGACAGCAGCTATTAGAATATAATTATTACAAGCATACTTGTATAAAATGACACCTCATCACTGAAGATGTAAAGACATTAGGTTTTTAAAAACATGTAAGAGAATACTAAGCTTTCATCTCTCATGCTGTCATTCAACCACTGTTACTCAGAGACATTAATAAAGTTTTTCAGCATTTTCCATTTTGAAGTACAAGTGTTGTATACTGAGAAAAAAAAAAATCAGACCTTTCTCTTTCAGTCTTCCATTCTAATCATTAAATATATGAATAATTAAGGTTCTACTTCATATAAGCTAAGGCTGGTCCCTGTAAAGGAAGTATTTTTTTTTTTTTTTAAAGTAACACCTTCCACACTTACCTGTGCCATTCAACTAAAGGGACAGAAAGAAGAAAGACACGGTTTTGAAATGCCTAACTTCTTAAAGGAAAAAGAAAAAAGCTCTACTTACCATGTACATTAGTATGTCTCTAATCATCACCATAGCTGTTTGATGATCATTCCAAGCTTGATTTAGCGTTTGAAGAAAGTTGTTATTCAATGAATTTAGTACATCTTCTCGCACCTATTAACAGAAGAGTTCATTAAAGTATTTTACACATGTGCACACATACAAACACACTCTCATATGTATACATGCACATATCTTTTCAATAAAATGGTATGGAATATTCAATTTTACATCAAAGAAATAGGTTATAGGCCAGTAGAAATATTTTAAGCTATAATATAACCTAAATACAGATAACTAACAAATGTGTTGTATAGTCCAGACCCATCTCCTGATCTCCAGAATCATAAGGCAACCACCTGGGCAGTTCTCAACCCTCCAACAACCTAACATCACAGTCAAAATAAAATCCTAAATACTTTAAGGAACTACAGGGCCCCAGAGAATTGGTCCCAGGCTATTGTTCCAACTAAATTTCTTACTATACCTCCCCTTCCCCATCCTTGCAGAATGGTTAAAAATGTTGACTTAGGAGTCAAACTACTGGGCTCAACTCCAGCTCCCTGACTAGCTGTGTCACCTTGGGTAATTTATTCCATCTCTGTGCCTCAGTTTCCTTACATGTGAAACAGTATCCATTTTGTAGAATTGCTGTAGAGGTTAAATGAACACTAGTGACACACTGAGAACAGTGCCTGGCACTCGGCCAACACTTACTGAACATAAACCATTAACTCACCATGCTCCAGCTACCGTGGGGCTGCATCCAACAACTGTGTTCTACTCTTTGCTCTGCACATTTCACACAGCTTACACCCTGTTTTCTACCCAAGTTTCACTTCCACAAAGAGGTCTTTCCTGACCACCCTATTTCAAACAACTTCTATCTCCACTCTTTGCACTAATTTTTCCTCATAGTACTTGTCATTGCCTACTGTTTTACCTATTTATCCACCTACTGTTCCTCTCACTAAAATGCAAGATCCACACCAGCAGGGATTTTGTCTTTTTTCCATGTGTGCCTCCCACACCTAGAACAGTGCCTGGCATCTAGAAGACCCTTTACTTTATTCACCCTACCCTCCAATACCATCATCCACCATCAACATGGTAAGCTTTTTCAGGATATCTATCTTTGCACATCAAGTTGCCTTGAGTCTGAAATGCCTTTGCAATGCAATCCTGCTAAGACTACTCAGACTCCAAGAATTCCTTTCCATAGTCCACAAGCATATTGCCACCTTCTCCAATAAATTCCTAACTACTAGTACTTCCTGCTACGCTATCTGTCCAATGATATGATTACGGACTAGAAAATGGAATTTAGACTGATTCTAGCTTTATCATAAAAAAGCAGTTTGTTCTCTAAGTTCCTGTAACTTTGGGACTACACTGCCAACCTCCCTAATTATTCCAACCCACCCAAATCCTCCACGGTCTAGCCCTAACCAGACACGTTCTAGCTCCAAACACCTCTAGTAGTGATTAAACATTTTTAGGTTGGGGAGAATCTGAAGTCATGGTGTTTTGTGAAAAACAAATTATTTAATATGTGTTGAGATATATAGATACCTATAAACTTGAATTATAAACAGTAAATAAAATGTCACTGCATATTAGCACTAGTATAAACAAGAAAAAACAAGCAGTGGCAAGTGCTGAAGACTGAAAAAAAAAATATATACAAAACACACTATTCCCACAAACGGGAGAATAAATTCAAATTGAGAAAACTGTATCTAATTTTTCTTATATACTAGAGGAAAACACCTGTTAAGAGATTTTAGTGATGAAACAATGTCTGTTCTAGTAGATGTGTATTCTGAAAATCACTAGCCTATATCACATAATTTAGCACTGTATCACAGGTAATCTTTTCTTCATAAGACTAATAAGCTCCTTGACTTTAAAACGTATCACCCATAAGCATACTGACTATATCAAAAGTGACACACACGTTGGTTCATAGATAGTACTGTGTTAAACACTTTTTTGTAAAGTGGATACTAAAGCATTTATTCTAACTCATCAAGTCTGGCACTTGTCAGATGCAAATTCCCATGACAGCTAACACTAAAAAACCCCACAAACTGAAAATATGCCTATTTATAAAATTCCTCACCAATCTTCATATACTTTCAGTGAACCACTAAATTTTGAATAGCAATTAAATTAAATAATGACAATACTAGGGAAACAGTACTATATATCTAACAATTAATTATTCTTAATGACTTAAGTGAACTTCTGAATACCCCTCTGTTATAAAGTCAAGTTACATGTTAACAAAGTCACCCTAATTTTGGAATGCAAAAATGTGCTTGGTGTATCTGTTAAATGAATGAAAAACTGACCACTCAAATTTTAAAAAGACATGTGTCCTAAAATTCCTGATTTATATACACTTCCAAATAAAACACCTCAAGTATTTATATAATATTTATACTTACACCTGCCTTTCAACAAAATAAAAATGTGATCAACTAGCACAATGTGTCATAAATGATAAAACTGCTTTATTTGCATCATGCCTCAAAAAATTATCCTGACAAATCAGTAACAATGAATTTTACTTAGCAGAAAATAGCTGCTATTAATTTTGTTATTTTTACTTTGCTTTTTACTGTTGAAGTTAGATGTGGTCATGGATCTGCTTTGGCCAATGACCTAAGCACAAATGATACATCATTTTTATATAATGTAAACTTCAACATCTTAGTAATTTTTAAGTGTAAAATTCAGTGATATTAAATATATTCACAATAATTAACCTCTATCACAGGACATGAGAGTTGTAAGAGGTGCCCCAGAAGATCTCCTGCTGGTCAGACATACTCTGTTACATTTATTTTTGAATGATTACGCTCACACACACAGACACAGGACTATAAGACATAAAATAAATGCTTTACATACACTTGCTGCATTCTCCTAATTATTCAGATCACTCTATGAACAAATAATTCTGCTAGTGATGCCTCAGAAAACTGTCCTTCTACTCTGAGAAATGAAAAGTGAACAAATATTTGTTCAAATATACTTAATAAAAGGTAGGAATAAGATGAAAATTCAACCTTTATGAAGATTAAAATGGGCTTTTTAAAAGGTAAGTTTGCATATCAACCAAAAAACACATTAAGTAGGGGATAAAAAGATTTAACTCTTATTTTACAAACTGTTAACAGAATACATAAAATTTACAAGAGATAGGAATTGGGGTCAGTTTGTGTGTGAATAACATGGTTAATCTCACACCCTCAAAACCACAATTAGTTTTTGCATCAGCAAAGGCAAACAGGAAGGAACCCTGCTGTAGAGGTGGTACCAGTACCATAGGGGGCAAGCAGACCAAGTATATCCACCATTACTATATATAGGAAAAGCTACATGAAGGTTATCCAGGTGAAGAGCTAGAATTTGAGGGGTGAAACAAGGAAAAAACAAGCACCAAAGCCATGGAAACGGAGAATAGGATGGGACCAGCTGTGACAATGAGGCTAAAATGAGTAACTGAAAACTGATGGCTTATTCATGGCACTTAGTCTTGCAAAAAGCAAGATACAGACAGTAGCCAAGAGCAGTAGATCATGAACCTGGCAGAAAATTAGAATCCCTTGAAGAGCAACAGATTTTGTTCAAGAGCATGAGATGACAAGACACAGACTGGGAGAAAATATTTGGAGGTTTATCTGGTAAAGGACTGTTACCCAAATATATACAAGGAATTAAAAAAAGTCACCAAGAAAACCCAATCTAAAATACTGGCAAAAGACCTGGCCACCTCACCAAAAAAGATAACCAGATGGCAAATAAGCATACTGAAAGATGTCCAACATCTGATTAAGAAGTTACAAAATGAGGGGCACCTAGGTGACTCAGTCTGTATAGTATGCGACTCTATAGTGTAGAGATTACTTAATAAAATCTTTAAAGAAAAAAAGAAATTGCAAATTAAAACAACAATGGGACACCCTTACACATTTATCAGAATGGCCAAAATCCAAAACACTGACTACACCAAATACTGCTGAGGATATAGCGAACAAGCACTTTTGCTCACTGCTGGTGGGAATGCAAAATGATACACAGCCACTTTGGAGGACAGTTTGGTAGTTTCTTACAAAACTACATGTACTCCCACCATACCATCTATCAATTAGGCTCCTTGCTATAAATATTGAAAAAGTTGACAACTTATGTCCAAACAAAACCCCAGACTCACATGTTTACAGCAGCTTTATTCATAATTGCCAAAACTTGGAAGCAACCAAAACTTCCTTCAGTAGGTGAAACAATATACTGTGGTACATCCAGAAAACAGAGTATTATTCAGTACTAAAAAGATATGATCCATTAACCCACCAATGGTGGCACCTTAAGTGCAAATTACCAAGTGAAAGAACACAATCTGAAAATGCTACTGCCTACCATATCATTCCAACTACATGACATTCTGGAAAAGGCAAAACAAAAGAGACTATAAAAAGATCAAAAGAGGGGCGCCTGGGTGGCTCAGTGGGTTAAAGCCTCTGCTTTAGGCTCAGGTCATGATCCTAGGATCCTGGGATCAAGCCCCGCATCAGGCTCTCTGCTCAGCAGGGAGCCTGCTTCCTTCTCTCTCTCTGCCTACTTGTGATCTCTAGCTATCAAATAAATAAATAAAATCTTTAAAAAAAAAAAGATCAAAAGAAGAAGATCAGGTGCTAGGAGTCAGGGTAGAGGGAGAGATGAACAGACAGAGCACAGAGGATTTTTAGGGTAATGCAACTATTTCGTATGGTACTATAATGGTGGATACATTTCATTATACCATCATTAAAATCCACAGAATGTACAACACATTTAGAGTGACCCCTAACATAAACTATGGACTTTGGGTGATAATGACAAGTCACTGTAACAAATGTACCACTCTGGTATGGAGTGCTACTGATAGTGGGGGAGGCAGTGGGAATATGGGAAATGACTATACCATCTCAATTCTGCTATAAATCTAAAAATGACTGAAAAAATAGTCTATTTAAAAAAACAAAAAAGATTCGGGGGCTGACCGAAGACCAAGAAAAGACAATCTCTCTTTTTTCAACACAAGTATGTTTACTATACTTGTAATA